TCCTGCAATGCAATGCTTGCTTTGAACTGTCATGAATTAGTTAAGTTCATGACAGTTAAAAATAATAGTGATCTATGATTTGCTATATCTAATTACATGGCGCAGGGTGCTGTGATTGGCCATATACCATGTGATAGCTGTGGGACAATCACAGCTCACCAAAAAGAGAAGTAAAGCATGCAGTTACTCCTTCAGCTCAATAACCAGTCCAAGGGTATTCTCTTTTTGGTGTATTTTATTTTGGGTAACTTGAATAGGTATAGGGAACTGTACAAAAAGAAGGACACTCTTTCTTCTGTAGAACTATGAGCCAAGTCCTTGCATAAGTAAATGCTGGACTGAGCATTGTGTAGTAGAAATTTGAGAAATCAGAGCAGAGTCTTTTCCCTAAGAATTAAATAGAGTGAGCTCTTCAAGACACAATATCCCCTTCAAATACAACTGACTCTATAGCACCAGGGGGTGGCAACAGCACACAGTCTCTAGGATCTCTCACACCAGTCTGTTTTCATGAATGTACTTTGGTGATTGGTTGCCTCCTTCCAATATCTTCCAGACACTTACTCCCAGTGACACCAGACAAGATCCTCAGATGATAGCCCCTCAGTCGACTTCATCAACTTTCAGCCCAGCAAGCCTCCCAGCTAACCTGGCTGGGACCTCAACAAACAGCAGACACATGGCAGGCTTACCCAAGGGGCTGACAGCCCCCCTAGGCTGTGATCTCCTTATCAGGGAAAAGACACTTCTGTTCCAGGTCTCAGACTATTTATACACTTTACCAACAACCATCTGCGCAGTCTCCCACAGGGTTTGGTTGAAACAGTATAAATATTCCTGTTGCCCATTTGCCTTGCTCCACACCTAGGTTCCAGAACTAGTCAGAAAGTTCTAGACCACAGGAAGAGTAGTGAAACCTGCAGCCTGTGAAATACAGAACAAACCTGATCACATGCAGGCTCACTGATTACAGTGAGCCCAGAACTAAATTTACCTAACCTAGCACCTATCCTTGAGGGTGATACACAACATATCAGACAAAGTCAACTAGTACTGTGATGGAAAAATACATTGAAATGGTCATATAGAGACTTTGCTCTGACAAGCAAAGGAAGGCATTAAAGATCCCTGTTCGGTACAACCTCTTCACATCAGCAATGTTCAAATGTGGCCTGATCTCCTACAGAAAGGGAAGGATGCATGCCTACTACCCTCTTTTTCCTGGTCACCCAGGCAGCTTGCCTGGTGAAGAGTCTGGCTCAAAATAAAAGGAGAACCCTAAGCGTTTTTTTTTTTTAATTACTACTTACTTTGCACCAGTGTGGAAAGGACTTTCTATGTGTTGGTGATAATACATTGTCAAATTATAAACTAGTCCTGTAGTGGCAACAATGTAAATAGCCCCCCACCCCCCAACAATTCACGTGTAAGTTTCTGAGCATAATTGCCATCAAGGGCATGGATTATGCACACTGCATTATGTTTAGTGCATGTATTTGTGCATGTATTTGTGCCAAATGCTGATGTTTGGGTCCAGCTTTCCAAAACTAAATCTGTGATGTTCAAGACCTAATTTAGCATTTTCCTGTACACAAACAACAACCCAAATCCTGAATGCAATAACCTCTCTAAAATAAACATGCAGTCATCCATTACTTTAAAAAAAAAGTGTGCATTGTTTAACAGTTCCTATAGACACACGTCTAACAAAGAACATAGCTCTTTAGGCTCCATTCACACCTATGCTGTTTGCTTTTTGTGCATTTTGCAGTGCTTTTTGCAGTTCGTTTTGCGCTTTTGATGCATTTTTGACACGTTTTTATCATGTTTTGCGTGTTTTTTTTTTAAAGTGGCAGAATAAAAACTCAAAACATGGAAAAACGTGGCACAAACACACTAACATGCATTTCAGCAGATTCTCCATTGAACTCTATTGTAGCAAAAATGCTGCTTCTTGCTTTTAAAAAAGTCCCTGACCCTTTCCAAAAATGCAGCAGCTCAAAAAAGCATAGATGTGAACATGTTCCATAGGAAAACATGTTAAATGGACTGTAGTGTCTTTCTGCAAAAGGCACTAAAAAATGCATTGGCATGAACAGAGCCTTACAATTTATTTGTGATTATCTAGGACACTAAGGCTCAGTTCACACTAGTGTTGAAAGCAGCTGTTTTAGGGGTGTTTTTAACTCTTCTAAAATACCTATGAAATTTATACACATGGCGGTATGCAGCGCTGTTCACACTGAAGTGTTAGAGTTGAGTCATGGCTAAATTGACACCTCATGTTGAGTCAGGAGGAGTTGAAGCCTTTCAACGCCTCCCTTTCAAGTCTATGGTGATGCTAATCAAACTCCTGGCATTTGTAGTGCGGTTTTAACAATTGTAAAATGCCTATAAAACACCTCAAAACAGCGCATAGGGCATTTGGGGAGCATTTGGGGAGCGTTTTTAAACACTTGTAAGACACCTGTCTAGGGGGCTATAGGGCCATTTGGGAAGAAGTCAAGTGTGAACAAGCCCTAATTCTCTTCACAAAGCCAGTAACAAATAACTACAATGTTTATGTGTATGGGAAGGATACAGTATATGTGACAAATGAAGATGTTGATCTTTATCACCTGTTATAAGCTCTCAATAAAATAATGCAACAATGTATTTGTATAGTTATAACAAGTACTGTAATGACTTTACTGTTAACCAGGCTGACATTTACTGTTATGCAACTTATAGGATGTTTCTTAAAAATGTGGTTTTGTTTTATAAGCTTCATTGCCAAGGGGCTTTAACTGCTTTAACACTGACATATTTCACCCAATTTACCTGTTTCTTGGCATTCAAGGTAACTCATTAAAATTCATATCTACACTCTTGAGATAAAACTCATATGAATTGCATCATGCATCAACTAATAGGTATACACAAGCGGATAAAACCTTCTGTCCCACGATAATAAAGGCTATCATTCTGATGAAAGTGCTGATTCATATCACTTTTTTCTTACTAATGGATATCCAATATATGAACTAGCTGGAATTTTAATTCCCCATCTTGCTCTGTATGTTTATGAAAACATATGCCTAATGGTTTAATGTATTTGAAGTCTTATTATCAGAAATGTGGAAATAGTTCAACAGAGACGTTATGAGCAGATTAGGAGGAAAAGAAATTTTATAGCTGAAGGACAAACACATTTTGTTATTTTAGAGGACCTCAGAGAGTACTAAATTCAGAGGCCATTTTTTTTTGTTGCTGTTGGCTTCAGATTTTAAAATTTATGTTTACTTCCTGTATATTTGGCTGGTATGAGACAGAACAGGAAACAGATGACATGACCCCTGCAGAGATAAAGCATTTGAAGGAATAGTTCACCTTCACCAAAGAACTACCTAAGCAGGTAAGGAGCATCTGTGGATAAAAACTGTGTGTCTCTGACTAAAGTTGAATAATGTCCTTACTATAGGTGTAGGCCATTTACGTACCTCATGAAGCCTGGCTAGAATACTACCAGGATGGTGCTAGGACTTTTCTAAGTGAGGCCTAGTCATTACTGATCACGCCCACCATCACAGGAGTAAGCTTTTTCACTGATTCAGACACCCTCATATGCATCTCTCCCCTGATACAGTAGTTTTGAGCTCAGAATCTGAGGGCTCACTCCTGTGATGGAGGAGGTGAGCAGTAACATGTAGGCCTCACTTAGCATCATCCTAGGAGTATTCCAGTCAGGCTTCATGAAGTATGTAAATGGCCTACACACATAGGAAGGGAATTATTCAATTTTAGTTAGAACTGCCCAGCTTTTTTTTATCTACAGACACCCCTTACCTGCATAGACTGTTCTTTGATGAAGGTAAACTATCCCTTTATTTTATTTTCAAAACAGGGAAAGGGAAAGATTGTGAGTTATGTATTTGCTGTCTGTACCCCTACTGGAGAAATTTTACCATGTGTCAGACAGAATAGGACATGAGAGGAAATCTCCTCAATAGGATACAATATTTAAAACCTGAGACAGGTTATAACCTTTTAAAACTCTGCTTAAAATTAAAAAAAAATTTTTTGAATGGACTTCAACAGTAGTTGATTTTGGTTAGGAACAAGGTTTGGGTTTGCAGCAAATAATTAACTTTTGGTTGAAAACTTTACAGGTTCACCACCAGAAATAGATAACAACATATAAATTAGAGGCTCTAAAAAGTGGGAGGTGGACATTTCGATTGTGTGACCATTGTGATTGGCAGTATGCAGTGGGATCTTTCCTGTCCCCTCTGGTGACTGTGCTAGTAGGAGCATGCAGGGTGCACATTCTCAGCACCAAAAACTATTTACATAGGGCCACATATATGCGGCCTCTCAGAGTTAAAGCCCACCCTCCGAGAGGCCACATATGCGTACCTCTGGCAGGAAGAGTTCAAGGAATGAATAATCCAGTCCCCTTTTTATTACAAATGTTGGGTTCACAGGAGCCATGTTGTTAGTGTGCATTGGACCCTTTAGGGACAAATAACTATTTAGTGTAAAAGTACTTTTTTTTTTCTAACCACTTTATCGCTCACAGCTGAACACCCACTATGTTCCAAAACAATTTTTATATTTCTTCAAGGACAAACAATGCCTTCCTTTTGGTGTTCTTATCTTGCAAAAATAGTTCTTTATGCAATCCTAAAACTAAAAAAATTACCCTTTTTTGAACAGTTTAAAAAATAGTGTAACTGTAGATAAATATATATATAATTTATAATTTTTTTCCTGTTTAACTAGTTGCCGACCGCAGATAGCCGAATGACGGCTAAACTGCGGCCGGCCAGTTCTGAGTGGACGTCATATGACGTCCTCCCAGAACGCGCTCTCCTGCGCGCCCCAGGGGGCGCGCACCCGGCGATCTCCGTGATCGCTGTGTCCTACGGACACAGCTGATCACGTGATGTGGTAAAAGGCCAATCATACCGGCCTTTTACCACGTGATCAGCGGTGTCCAATGACACGCTGATCACAGGGAAATGCAAGTGCCGGTTCTCGGCTGCACTTTCCTCACGCTGTCAGATCGTGAGGAAAGTACTGCCGAGAACCGGCAGTTGTCAGAGCGGGGATCGGCACCGATCATCAGGGCACTGATGATCAGTGCCCTGATGATCGGTGCCCAGCAATGCCACCCGCAAGTTCCGCCCACCTGTGCCCAGCAGTGCGCCCACTAGCTCCGCCCACCTGTGCCCAGAAGATCACCCACCTGTGCCCAGCAGTGCACCCACCTGTGCCACTCTGCAGTGTCACACACCTGTGCCCAGAAGTGCCACCTACCTGTGCCCAGCAGTGCCACCCACCTGTGCCCACCCACCTGTGCCCACCAGTGCCACCCACCTGTGCCCACCCACCAGTGCTGCCCACCAGTGCCACCCACCAGTGCAGCCCAGCAGTGCTGCCAGTCAGTGCCCCAGTCAGTGCCGCCAGTCAGTGCCCAGCAGTGATGCCAGTCAGTGCCGTCTATCAGTACCCATCATCAGTGTCACCTATCAGTGCCGCCTATCAGTGCTGCATATTAGTGCCGCCTATCCGTGACACCTCATTAATGCTGCCTATCAGTGCCCTTTAGTGCTGCCTATCAGTGCCCATCAGTGCCGCCTATCAGTGCCCATCAGTGCTGCCTCATCAACGCACATCAGTGAAGGAGAAAAAAATACCTGTTTGAAAAATTTTATAATAGAAACAAAGAAACTTTTTTTTTTTTTCAAATTTTTTGCACTTTTTTAATTTATAGCGCAAAAAGTAAAGCGCCCAGTGGCGATTAAATACCACCAAAAGAAAGCTCTATTTGTGAGAAAAAAATGATCAAAATTTCATATGGGTACAATGTTGCATGACCACGCAATTGTCAATCAAAGTGCGGCAGCCCTGAAAGCTGAAAATTGGCCTGTTAAATAAGGGGGTATAAGTGCCTGGTAGGCAAGTGGTTAAAATGGCACTAAACTTATGATTCTGATACAAATCTTCGCAAAGTTCTTTACTTATGAATTAAATGGGTTTTTTCTCAATTCATCTTTTCATGAATGAAAAAAACTAATGAAAACCCCCAAAAAATAAATAATTTGTTGAAGGAGAAAGGGGAGAAAGGGGAGAAGGAATTAATTAGGGCTGATTAGGGTAGCTAAGTGTTAATAACGGGTTAAATAGAGATGCATTTTATTAACCACTTGCCCTCCTGAGGATTTACCCCCGTTCCTGACCTGTCTGTCATATGACACCCTCCCAGAACTGGACAACCCCGCTGTAGCCATCATTCGGCTAGTGGTTAAGTCTAGGTGCTACTGCGCCGTGGTTAATCTCTTTATTGATTCTATATACTTGGCTATAGTTTTAATATTCCCACAGTTTAAATGTCTGCAACTTGTCTCAACTAATCTTCTGATCACTCGCAACTGATATGTTGTTGATATGTTGGGCTTTTTTTTGTATTACTAACTTCTTAACATCCTCAGATTCTGTCTTCTGCCTAGTGCTTCAGTCCTGTCTGTTTACGTGTGTCATGTATCTTTTCAGGAAAGATGTCTTCAGATTTCAGGGGTATCCAATCCAAAATTTCCTTTCATCACATTTGGTTTAATGTAAATGGGCCTTTGAGATTAGGGTTTCATGCATCGGATGTGGAAACAAGGATATGTGACTCAACTATGCATGAAAACTCAGGAACTGGGATGTCAAACAATGACAGCAAGTGCTCTGGACTGAGTAAAAACGTTAAATATTTGACTGTAGCAGGTGGCAGTTTGTTCGTGAAGGGCTGGAGAGTGGTACAATCATGAATGTTGCCAACTCACTATACCGTTTTGCAGTATTTACAACAAAACTCTCAGTAAATACTGCATGAAAAGGTGTGAAACTCATTTCACAGACAGAAATTAATAATGAAATGCATGCAGTAATTAAGTAGTTTGCCTCCAAACTCCTTGAACGTTAGTCTACAACCGGCTTAGTTGCCACCTTATTGAGAATAACCTTCTTGATCCCCTTCAGTCTGGATTTCTCCCACAACACTCCACAGAAACTGCTCTCCTAAAACTCACAAACGACTTACCAGCCGTTAAAACCAATGGTCACTATTCCGTACTCTTAGTCTTGGATCTCTCCGCTACTTTTGACACAGTTGACCACCCCCTCCTCAAAAAAAAAATCTATTTACTTGGTCTCCGTGACTATACTCTCCATTGGTTCGAATCTTACCTATCTCATCTCACCTTCAGTGTCACTTACAACTCTACTTCCTCCTCTCCTACTCCTCTTACTGTCCTTGGACCTCTCCTAATCTCGATCTACACTTCTTCCCTTGGGTCAGCTGATAGCTTCCCATGGTTTCCAATACCATTTCTATGCTCATGACACACAAATATATCTCTCTACTCCTCAGCTCACTCTATCAGTTTCCTCACGTATCACCGATTTGCTAACAGACATATCAGACTACCTAAAACCCAATCTATCCAAAACTGAGCTCATAATATTTCCTCAAGTGCTTCTTCCCCTGATTTCTTGGTCAGGATAAATAGCATCACTATCAACCCATCCCTGCATGCCAGGGTGCTAGGGGTAACCCTGAATTCTGAACTATCCTTTCGGGCCCACATCCAATCCCTTTCCAAATCATGCCACCTCAACCTCCACAACATCTCCAGAAAATTCCCCTTTTTAACCAATGATACCACAAAGCTCCTAATTCACTCCCTGGTTATCTCTCGTCTCAACTACTGCAACTCCTTCCTCATTGGCTTACCTTTATATAGGCTATAAGCACTTTTATATAACCCCTCCAGTCCATCATGAATACTGCTGCCAGGCTCATCCACTTTAACAACCATTCAGTGTCTGCTACCGCTCTCTGCCAATCCCTCCACTGGCTTCCACTCGCCCAATGAATAAAATTCAAAATACTAACAACAACTTATAAAGCCATCCACAACTCTGCCCCCAGCTACATCACCAACATGGTTTCAAATTATCAACCAAACTGCTCTCTTTGATCCTCTCAAGACCTTCTGCTCTCTAGTTCCAGTGTCACCTCCTTCCATGATCACCTCCAGGTCTGCTCCCGAGCTTCTCCCGTCCTATGGAACTCCCTACCCCAATCTGTCTGGCTATCTCCTAATCTATCCACCTTTAGACAATCCCTGAAAACCTCTCTTTAAAGAAGCCTATCCTGTTTCTAACTAGTAAACTGCATTTATTTCCTCCATCAGCTCATCCCCCATAGCTATTACTTTTTGTATCACTCAACACTTCCTCCTAGCTCTAACAAGCAGGACCCTCTGTTTCCTCTTGTACCAAATTGTATTGTAACTCTAATGTCCACCTCCATTTTGTAAAGCGCTGCGCAAACTGTTGGTGCTATATAAATCCTGTATAATAATAATAGTGGCACAGGCATGCAGTATTTAAGAAATGTAAAAATATAATATGCAATTTTGAATAGTTTCTCCTTTTTGGATCAGTTCTTTTAACAGTAATGCATAGAAACCTAAATATGAAAACCACTGGGGTTGATTTGCTAAAGGAAAAACTTTTTTTAGTTTTGGATAGAGTGGAGGTGGATTGGAACACATGTCAGGATGTCATATGTGCCCCAATTAAATTCACCCTCTCTATTTGTAGTTTACTCTTATCATTGAAAGTACAACTTGCAAACTTCACATTATATTTGCCTTAAAGTAAAACTAGAGGCAACACTTTATTTTTAATTTAGGATAGAGTAATAGAGGGTTGCAACCCTGTCAGGTTTTTTGGCATCTGTGTCCTCATTGGAAGATGTCCACTTTATTATTTTTCTGTAAACAGGACAAATAGAGAGGGTGAACCTCCCTAATAGGGACAGACAGCAGTGAAAACCTAACAACTCTCCACACTATCCAAAACTAAAAAAAGTTTTTCCTTTAGCAAATCAACCCCAGTTTTTCCTTTAGTCATACTTAAATTATTTAGTAAATAAAAATATATTTCTAAATGTCAAATATTGAATGAAAATAGTATAAAAAAAAAATCACACACATATATGACAACGTTGTATTTTTTTATTGCTGCAATAATGGCATTTATATATATGTGTGTGATTTTTTTATACTCTTTTCACTTTCAAACGGGCAGGGTTTCTGATCATTTGATCGCTGTGACTGGGAGCTTTTTCTTAGCTGCCAGTAAGTATGACGGGGGCACGCAAGGTGCATGTTCCTTCAAAAACTATGTGTAAGTGTGCCCGGATGAATTGAAGAATTGATGCTACTTTGAAGGCAAAGGGTGTTCGCACCAAATATTGATTTGAATTGGATTTCTCTTCTGTTCATTTACTTTCCATTTTCTTAAACTCTGCTGTAAATTCTTAATTTACAGCATTTTTTCACACCTGCTTGAAACCTTTGCACAATACTGTATATGCCCCATAAATGTGTTCAATGTAACATTTCCATTGTTTATACAATCTAATATTGTATTTTAGGATGTTTGTTTATGTAATCTTTAAAATGGTATATTTTAAAGATTTATTTGAAATTGCCATATCTTGTTTGCATAGAAACCTTACACAGTTCCCAATACAAATTAGAAAATTATGGCTTATAATGTGTCTAGGAGAGCACTAGTGACATATTTTGTACAGAACTTATTATTGAATAAAATATACAGCAAGATTTAAATTGCTTTATTTTATTGCATATCTGAGCTAAAAGTTTCAGCGCAGAACAGCTGTCAGCGTCCAGCTGTTAGATGGCTCAACCAGACATTACAATGCAATGAAAAAGTAATAATTAAAGGAAATCTTCATGCCAAGAAGTGTTGAAATAATGTATCTTAGGGTAATACTTAAACAGAATCTACAATCATCGTTGATTTGTTCTTAATCCAACATAAATATCCATCTCCTCATACTTTATCTATCTTTAGCCTTTTCTCTGAGAAAGAAAGAGAAATATGCACGAGAGTCAAACTCCACATTCATGGACTATGTGTTTCCCTTGTGCTTGTGGGTTGCCTCCTTTCAGGTATCACTAAGTCTCATTAATTTTATACAGTAAAAATAAATATTCTTTAAACGACTTTCATTTCTGGTTTCCGTGATTAATATTAAAAGCTAAATAGGAAACATTGAAATTTGTATATGAATCCTGTATCTCAGGATCCTGAGATTCAAAATTGGAGAGATACAGGGTTCACCTTGAACTCTTGCTTTTCTTGGTTCACTGACTGATTTGGCCATATTTGTCTGCTCAGACTTCCTACAGATTTTGCAGTAGGAAGTCATTCATTCAGTGGTTGTATTTAATCCTGTCACAAAATGACAACTTCCCATCATTGATTGCTAGGACACAAGTGGTTGCACAGTATCATTGGTTGCTAGGATGCAGGCAGCCACCAGAGGCCTAGCAACCAAAGATCTTGCTGCCTGATAGTTTGTTTTAAACTGTAAACAAGTTTGTAAGAATCCAGGGTGAAATCATTGAATAA